CCTCTATCGTCCATTCAGTTTGGGGAAGGAAAACCCTCCAAAACACAAGAAGTCGAGGATTCCTTTCACAAGTTACAGTGTCTGTACCTCCCCAGCCGCAGGAGCAGGCTGCTCAAATCCACCGACCTTGTATTCGACGATGTTCCACAGTTCACAAATAGGGTTAAGGAGGGTTTCAACTATGATATCTTGGTTCGCCTGGAGGATTGCCACTTGTTTGGTGATGAACACGAACTAATCCACCGGCTCCCCTCTCAGCTCCAACCCATGCATCTCAGTTCCCTCATTTACGAGCAAGTCTGTGAAGGATATGAGCAAATGGCCTGTGTCATGGGCACCAATTGTGTCTTGGAGTCTAGATTGACATCATTGTTCTTGAGCACACACTTTCGACAGGCAATAGTCCGTCTGTCCAAGCACAGTCTCGGAGAAAGATGTGACGAGGAGAAAGTCACAAAGGCAGCCGAAGAGTTTGTATCATCCATAACGGTCTGTTGCAAACAGCAACTGATCACGCGCCTTGTGTACAAGGAATCACAGGAGCAAATCAAAGACAGCAGCGGCAAGTCCTACTGTTTCATTGAAGACAATACATTGTACGTAGCACACACAAACTCAACGTCTAAAGGCTACAGTGCATTCAACTACAACCTGACGAAGGTAGTTAATGACGGCCTGGGGCGACCTCTCATAAACCTGCTACCCCTTATGATGGTTCTCAGTGTGGACGACCCGTCAGATATTCCAGGTGAACTTGACATGGCCGGCATAAAACGTTACACGTCCGGTCAGAAAGATGACTCCCCCCTTCCTACCCTCGGCACTCCCATTCCGGAAATCTTTCACCACCTCCTGACGAGTAACCCAGCTCACTACTTCTCTCCTGGTGACTATGTGGGGTTTGAGCTGTACGATCCAGACTTAGAGTCGGATTCCAAGGACGAAGAAGAATACACCATGACATTTCTGTACGCAAAAGTCATAAAGGAAGTATCGACAGATACCGATCTCAAGTTCGGTCTGGGCAGGAAGTATGTCATAGATCTGGGAGAAACGAAAAGAACAGTGAGCACGGCAGACCTTTACAAGTTTTGCCGCCCCAGCGTGTCAGGGCCGCTCGTTCCGTATGAAGGAGAGTCAGGCGAAGAAGATTCCTCAGCAGCTAAACCACCTCAGAGTCTTGAAGATGCAATGGAAGAAGTGAGCAACATGTTGGAGGAAGCATGGAAGCTTCCAGAAAATGAGAGAAAGAAGGTAGTGAGGCGCCTTTATCTCCAATGGCACCCGGATAAGAACCCTGACAACGTCGAGTTGGCTACTGAGGTGTGCAAACACATCCAGGCCGAAATCAGCAGGCTTGAGAAGGGTCTTCCTAGGAGGACGGGAGGAGGGTCTGGGTCTGGAGGCAGCGGCTTTGATTTCGGAGGAAGTAGCTTCAGCAGCTCCTTTAACAGGTGGAACTCCCATGCCAGGTTCCACCGCCGCCAGAGGGAGCAGTTCCATGAACGCTACAAAGGCGGAAACTTTAGAGGCTGGCGAACACGCTCAGGCCAGTGGGTTCCCCCCAGGACCGATGGAGACGGCTTCCCTAACCCGCGGGAGGCGGGCCGCTGGCATCGCCAGGCTACAGCAGACCTACAGGCTGCCAGGGATAACCTAAGCGGACCTGGTACCTCCTTTGAGTGGACGTGTCTGATGTGCCACCAGGCGGCAGAGAAAGCTCTGAAAGCTGTGCAACTGGGCAAGTTCGGGAAGTACGAGATGGACTACCACATAGGAGGCATGGCGATGGCACTGGAGACCAGCTGCGGGGATGAACTGACCGGTGTCGGCGATGCTGCAATGGAGCTGTCGTCCATCGGGTCGTACCTCGGGTGTGATGACGTGTACCTGCGGGCCCGCTACCCCAACCTCCACCCGGCACCGAGAGTTCCTCACGACGCGTTCACCCGTCAGCACGCGGAAACCGCCGTTCGCCTGGCGCAGATTATACTGGACAGGACGGAGGACGCATTAACTAACCTACAACCTCCACCCGGCACCGAGAGCTCCCCACGACGCGTTCACCCGTCAGCATGCGGAAACCGCCGTTCGCCTGGCGCAGACTATACTGGACATGTCAAAGGAAGTATGGAACTAACAAACCTACCTACCAGATGAAGATTTGTTAGAGAACAGAATCCACATCAAAATCATTGGGACGTTTGAGAGTTAAAACATTTCAAATGTGAGCGTCAGAAAAAATCAACTGCTGATTCAAAGGGACATAAGTGCTCTTTTAGAAGCCGCCAAGTGCCTTCATGTAAAATTTATGGAAAGATGTAATGACGCATCAGTAAAGCTGAAATAGTTTTTCGACTTTTGTTAGGTTAAAAGTACATTCCTAGAGTTAAACAGAAAACCAGGTCTTGTATTGTTTGCTATATTTCCTATGACTAGATGACGATTCAGACGGATTGACTGGATGATTTAGCTTTATTTTACTCAGGGAGCCTTATGATAGTTTGAGTAATGCGTACTTAAAGCATAGAAGTTAATGAGCAATATATAATGATTATGAGGAAAAAATGAGGTTATCATTGCATCATGAATGTTTGCGTTAAGGGTTCACCCAACTATACATTAACCTGCTTTCTGTTGGAAACATTGTAAACATGACAAGTTTTATTCTCAATAGTAAGTAGACCACAAGATGTATTCCTGTGGGCAGTCAAAGAGTTTAGCTTGAAATAGCTTTACAATTCTTTGTTAGGTTCAACGTACATTTCTTTGTGTAGACATGAAACGTTAATGATAAAACAAGATTATCGGTGCATCTTACATACAATGTATCTTCATTTTAAAAGAAACCAACCACCTATATATTAGCCTGCTTTATGTTATTAAACATTGTAATCATGACAAGATTTCTTCACGGTAGCAAGTAGATCACAAGGACATGACTTATTGCTCTATCTGGGAGTTATGGAGTTTAGCTTGATATAGCTTTTCAATGTTTTGTTTGCTTCAAAGAGTACATTACGTAGACAGGAAATCACGTCTTGTAATGTTTGCTATATTTCTTATGAGTAGATGACAGCTTACATGACGAGTTGGAAGTTAACTGGACGATTAAGCTTTTGCATTTTACACAGAAAGTCTTATGATAGTTTGATAGTTTGGTAGACTGTGTCTTACACTACTGGGCCTTATGAGCAATATATAAACCAACTATAATTTGAAAATGAGTTTATCATTGCTTCTCATATGGTTGCGTTAAGAATTCAACCAAATTTACATTAACCTGCGTTGTGTTGGAAAACATTGTAAACATGCCAAGTTTTATTCTCAATAGTAAGTAGATCATAAGATGTATTTCTTTGGGCAGTCAAAGAGCTTAGCTTGAAATAGCTTTACAATTCTTTGTTAGGTTCAACATACATTCTTTTATATAGACATTCCACTTTGGTACGAAACGATCACAAAGTTGGGACATGGAAGTATGAGTAGACGAGAAACTAACTCAATGTCAACAACGAGAATAATCAGATGGCAAAGTAGTAGAGAGTTTTCATGAAGGAAGCGTGGTGGAGGCATTACTACCTTACTCATACACTTCATAGTTTATGGTTGGGTGATTAAACACTACCGCTTTGTTACGTTTTGTGAAAGTATGGAATAAATTTCTGTTTAATTGTACCTGTATTGTCATATTTTAGTCCCAAATATCGACTAACGGCAGGAGAATAGAGGTGTGTGTGTGTGTGTGTGTGTGTGTGTGTGTGTGTGTGTGTGTGTGTGTGTGTATGTGTGTGTGTGTGTGTGTGTGTGTGTGCGCGTGTGTATTCTACTAAAAGATGGTGGCATCGTGTGGCGTAATATGGTCAGACCATTCTCGGAACCAAAAGGTCCATGGTTTGATCCCGAGACATTCCCGATGTTGTAACCTAGGGAAAGACACGTTGCACGACGTTCCCCCCACTGTACGGTGGGTGACGTCCACCGGACATTTCAGCTAATCGTTGATACTTATGTCCAAACACTGATGAGGACACAGACAGATTTGAATAAACGAATGAATGGTTTATTTGATCATGTCAATTAGATATGAAAAGCACATCGCATCTATAGGCTGTATTTTGCACATTCTACATATTCAAAAACATAAGGCAATTTACCGATTAGGGCTAATCGTATCGTTCTTATTTAACAATATACTGTACATATTCTAAAATCACAAGAAAACACTACCTTAAGACGGATACGTCGTAGTAGTTCAAACACACACACGCACACACACACACACACACACACACACACACACACACAGTAGTATACACATTTATTATTATGGTGTCGCCAATGTGCCAAGATCTTCACATTTGCCACTAAGAACCGTGTATTTTTTTAACAGTGTGCAATGACATAAGCACATGTAGATCCAAGAACGCGAAAACAAAGAAACAAACAGCCCAAATTATCTGTAAAACGTTTCCCTGAATTGAATAGTCATTCATATACATATAGATATTCATATACATGTTCATACACATATTTCACTCATATTGTATATTAGGAATAATATTTTCAACTAGTAAACAAGTTTAATACTATACTATCATTTAATACCGCGATCTCTTAATACAGGTTTTAGGTAGTTAGACATAGATATGCATGGCATCTGACATAAATATACATTAAAACGTAGTAGTTAACACGACCAGAAATAGCTTATTTAATTAATTTAGGCAGCTGGCTGTCATTTATGTTTTTCTTAACTTGACCGTTACTTAAAACAATGAGTGATGACCTCCGTTAATAGTTTGATTAGATTGCTGAATGATTGAAAAGCAAATTCTTTTTTTTCACAACCAATTTTTTAACACTAACTGAACTAGGATAGCATTCATGCTTGCCCTGATGAAAGTTACATATGGTGATTAAAATGTCGGCTCGTGTTAAAGAAGTGGTTTTGATTTTGAAAAAAAAAAAAGAACTTTGCTATTCAGTAAGTTGTGACGTTAGTGCACGTCTGCCGGAACCTTCAGAAACTTTCCTTCAGCATCATCGAACGCGTCATTGTTGCGCCCGTGACGTCCTGACGGCCGGTGTGACGTCATTGCTGTCTGTGGCAGCTCCCTGGCCTCCTCAGTGACGTCATCTGCAGCCCGACGCGCTCTCCTGATCACCAGACTCTTCCCGTCGTCTGAGATGTTGGCGGTGGACGGCCTCCGACCGTGCAGGCCCACCGTCTTGCCGTATGCCGACCTGAAATGGCATTATAGGCAGAAATGCGGTTGGTGTCATCTTAATCTATTCTAACAGGGTGAACTCCCTCCCAGTTGACATACGATGAGCGCCTACGCGGCTTTCTTTTAATTGATTAAATAAAGGCAAAGTATGGAAATCCCTTGGTTATCCATATTCTGTTTAACACAATAGGCCACAGCAAGTAAATTTTATGGATGGCATCCTCCACAGATTCCAAATCTAATGCAAGCGGGAGAAGAAAAAAAACAAGGCGGGCCGAAAAAAACAAGGTTCTTACATTTTGAAAGTTTGACTCAATCATTGTACAAATGATTTTGATTCAATCACATATACACAGCCAACATCACATATCACTGCATCAAAACATAAAATCAGAGCCTTGTCTTGTCTCCTCTCTTTATAGTTATCTGCCATCCACCTTCCGGCATGGCAACAGACATCTTGGCCTATTTTCGGCATGTTGACCACTGTCAGAAGGCCACAAAATTTCTTGTTTTTTTTCCCCAAATCAGGCGAAAATTAATGCGCGCGCTGATGTCATCCATAAAAATTACTTGCTGTGGCCATACATCTGTGTCATAACCCGAGTAACATATTACCTTGGCAACTATGTATATACTATGACTCTAGTATTGTATTATTGTATTTTTAAAAATGTCCGTATATATTATTGAAGTATTGTATATAACTATGCATAATCTCACTATGCAAGTATGCAATTTGTGAGATATAGAATATGTATTCCCATGCAAGTCTAACGATTTTCATCTTTTTCCCTAGGGTGTCCCTTAGTAATAGTCTTTGACTAGTTGGGACACCCTGGTTTCTTTGTAAGCCGAAATAGATAAATAAATAAAAATAAATAAATAAATAAATAAATGCCGACCTCGCGACCTTGTTCCTCAAGGCCAAGGAGATGTCGATGATCTTCAAGACGTCCTTCTTGGACAGCACGGGACCTGACGGTACCTTGAAACGTTAATGAACCGGTTTAGCTTCATGTAAAGCTAGATCGTGACAAGAAAGACATATCTTTTATCATTGTGCTCTCCTGTTATTTGCATGAATGATTTGTCAGGGAATTTTAGCCCTATAACAGGGTTAGTCTAATAACCGTAGGTGAGTCCACACGACCGACAGGGAGGGGAGGTCAGTTGATTACGGATGATACTGGGCTGGGGCCAATTGAAACAGCCACAAGCATGATGTTATTGGTATTTATACACTAACTTTCCCCCACAACTACATACATGTATTAACAAAGAGTGTACAAAAACACTAGGGTGGAAAACTTATAGCAAATCGCTAATTTTAGTCTCACCAAAAAAGAATACAAATCAAAAACAAATAACAACTAGAAAGGCCGACATTTGCTTTGGAGCAAATTAAGCATGGCTTCACCACATTTTACGACATGGCAGGGAAAGAAGGAGAATACAAGGGAAAGCAATGTTTTACATAATATATAGTATGAAGTGACAAATAACTAAGAATATAACAGTTGGATAGCTATCGCCTACATTATTGATTAGGATTTTTGTTTGCATAATGCAAACTGTTGATTTTTAAGATAAAAAAAGCGTTTATGCCCCGCATTTCAATGCTTGAGCAGGAAAGTTTGACATACCTACCAAAGCACTTCAATGCAGTACCTACATTCAATATGGTATGGCTATGTACAGCTGTTCAGATGTGCAGATGGAGTCAACTCAATGAAATCCCAACAGCCAATCAGCAAGAAGAATAGAGGAAAGTTGCATGCCTATTGGTTGCTTGCTGTGCATGCCAGACAGATGACTCATGGATAGTCAACCCTAACTATATTATAAATTGTGACCTAAAACAGTCAAAATGTCCCAGTCAAATTATACAAGTTCAAGGGAGAGGGTATTGCCCACTTTATCTCCATACAAAATTTCATGTTATTTAGCCCGAAAATGAAGGAGTTGAATCAAGTTAAAGAAATGGCTTGAGTGTGCCGTCACCACGTCTTGTGATTAGATGTTGGAATATAAAAAAAAGTCACGTTACCTGGAAGGTCTCGCCCCCCGGCGTGCGGATGACGCCCTCGGACACGTCGTACTCCCCGTTGATGCTGTGCTCGCACACGTCGGCTCCGATAATCTCGGCCACCGTGCTGATCCGCAGCCCGATCGTCACGTCGATGGCCTTGAACGTGACGAACGACGTCAGCACGGCCAAGGCGATGATGACGACGCAGGCAAGGGTCTGTACGCCGAGGATGTACCAGCCGCCGCCGTAGATCAGGCCTGAACAAAGCAACAGACTGATCCTAAAAATAAGGCCCCGCCCACCTCCGTCAAAACATAGAAATGGCACTCTCTCATTGGTCGAACCACTAATTGCCACTGTCATCGATGCATCGGCCGCCGTAGATCACGCCTGAACAAAGCAACAGACCGATCCTAAAGCCCCGCCCACCTCCGTCAAAAAATAGAAATAGCACTCTCTCATTGGTCGAACCACTAATTGCCACTCTCTTATCATTGGTCGAACCGCTATTGCAGTTCTCTCATTGGTTGAATTGCCAATTGTGAAAGACTACTAGGATCGGTCTATTTACAACTAAAGCACCAATCATACATTGGTCTTCTGAACACGCCACACGACCCCTCGTTATACTCTTTCACTATGCCTCTGTCTCTCTACACTGTATCTGCCCCCTTCATCTCCCAGAGTACTGTAATTATGTTTACCGAAGGAAACATATTATATTTGCTCTATTTCCTCTTCCTCCTCCTCTTCCGTTCCAAACACCTAAAAATCGTCGATATTTTCATAACTAGAGCTTAAAAGAAAATGAAATTCAGCATGCTGGTAGGTTGGTACGTAAGACACTGAACCGCTGTCATTTCGGCCAACATAGATGTGAAAAAATGACTTTATTTGAAAAAAATGGGTGAAAAAAGATACATTTTAAGCCAAAAATCGAACAAAAAGAACGCGTTTGGAACATTCGAACAACCATGGAACAATGGAACAGCGTGTTCGATAACCGCGGGTCAATGACCCTAGCGCTACGCACGGAACACCCGAGCTTTCCAAATATGGGCATCCGCCCTCGTATGACGGGAGATTGCTGGACCAATGTCTGTGGTAAGTTTTCCTTTTCCTTCGTAGAAATACGGTCATATGAATACCAGTCTCGAGTAGAGAATATTGCATTGGGGTTTTGGGTTCAATATCCACAAGTAGGACTGCAGATTTCCACAGAACGCCGGCGACTTTGTGTAACTTTGTGCATGTCACCCACCGCCGGCTAAAATTTAAAAAAAAAAGCACTCATAATTTACTAGCTCCTGACGTGATAGAATCTCGTATGTATAAAGATTCAGGCTTGTTGCCGTTTAGAAAATTAAGTAAACAGAATTGTGTTCATCCGTAACTATTGTCGACTTTGTAATGTAGGTGCGGGGCCGGTCGGGGAGGGGGGCGTTTGTTTACGTCTATATAAACATGGATATAACATTACATTTTGTCGTTTTGTCAGACAGTTTCAATCTCTTTCGGGATAACACAGTACAGTTCATGGGATAAGCATCAAATCGGGATTAATCGGGATATCCCGCGGGATTTTTCGGGAACCATGTTGACTAAGTTTTTTACAGACAGACGGTGCAGCGCATGTTTGTTTCCAAATTATGCATGATGATAACAGTAGCACAAACGAATAGTGTTTTTAATCAAATATTTATTTTTTATCGAAAATTTTAGTGGCTTAATAATGTTTAGAACGATAACAAAATAATACAACCTTCTTGGTACGAGAATTTCTGTCTGACCTTGCGATGTGGACGGCCCGCTAAGTACTGCTTTTGATGTCACCCGACCCGCGCTATCTCAGATATAAAATCTAACACATCCACGTGCCATGTCGCCACTCGAGTTCATTTTTCTCCTAGATATGTAGGGGAGGTCGACGCACGGAGCTGCGGAAGGGAGATTAAACATTCTACATAAGAGGGGGGCGAAGCATAATTCAAAAGTTCTTTACGCTTTGTTTACGACGATCAAGAATTGATACATTTCTATGACTGGGCCACGTTGCCATAGAAACGGCACGCAGGATAGCTAGCAGACCGCGGGGCGCCAATCACAGCGCACAGACGGGAACCCGCCCACTAGCTGGGCGGTAGATTCAAACTCAAAGGCTTGATGCTCCGCCCCAGAGACTCCGACCGCCTGGCGACTGTAGCGATTTTACGCCTCAGCCCTGCACGCGTCATCCTGATTTCATTCCAAAACAACGTTTTTCACAAGTGACATCGAGAACTAGAATGCTTTTCTCCCCGGAAGAATGTTTGCCAGCCGCGTGGACGGTACTTACTTTCAGGGCCTAGGGTAATACGTACATGAATGGACGTGGTCGGATCGTTGTTGACGCAAGGGTTTATTTATGTGTACGTGTTTGGGGAGGGGTGAGACGCATGCCCCGGGATGTTTATTGGTTAATTTTCGTAATACAGAGACTTGACGCAGTCTGCTCATGAGAAGACCTCAACAAGTCCAAGATGCCACAATGAAACACAACTACTACTACAGCTGGTACGCCCTATTTTATTTGGTTAATAAACTTACCGGAAAAATCACCGGAGACGAAGGGATTATTACATTGTTACAAATTCATTCCTGCTATTTTCTTACAGTTTTTCGCTGGACAATAGCTTGGTAAAAAAAATCAAGGACCTTGAAAAAATGGAGCAGGTCAACTATAACCGCGTGAGGAACGCGTTATACACAATATTTCCGTACACTCCTGTGCTTCACCAATCAATCAATCAATCAAGCCGCAAGCATCACAGTAGATGCATGGCGGCTGTAGCCATGTCCCTCCAGGGTGTTCTGTTCACCACCGGTGAATAAAAATTATAGCAAAGTTGACTGACGTCAGGGTGCTCCATCGGCCCTGCCCAGATCGCCCGACAGGACGTAACAATAAACATTTGGCACGCCGCCATCGGTGATAGGACGCGGTAGACTTGGGGGTCTCGCACAAATGTTTTTTTCTCTCCGCGGTACGCAGGACACCCGGATATCTCGCGGGATTTATCGGGACGCCTATCCCGAAAAATTCCGTATCCCGATGATGCATATCCCATGAAGTTATCTCTCTAAACAAAATAAGGATAATTGCCTTTATGAATTCGACAGATGAAATATTGTTTGGGCTTCAATGAATAAAGCTTTTTAAGTATGTATGTATAGTTTTATGTTTTATAGAGTGTGTAGTTGCCAATATTTTACACAACTGTAGATTTTCATTATTGATTTCATATAAATTTTCAAAGAACAACTTTTATAGAAGTTGGTAAATTCACTGGCTCTGCGATCAAAAGAACAAGTGAAACCCAACATCACTGGCTTGATTTATATCTTATGTACTGTAGTATTAAAGACTAAAGTGCACTGTAGGAATTATTTCTTCATATGATAGTATTTTTCATCATATATATGATATACGTACTTACAATTAGCCTTCTGTCATGTATTTGTAATAATAATAAACTTATCATCATTATTATTTCAGCCTACGTCCTATTTTCTATTTACAAAAAGGCTGTGAGATGAGCGCAACAAAGTCCTTTGTAATCAAAGCTGTCAAAAAGACTAGAAGTTTACTTGGAGTCTGCAGAGGATGTCATAAATGAAATTTACATGCTGTGGCCTATTTGCAAACATGGTAAGAGGGTGTGCTGAGTGAATCATTGGTACTGTGGTATGTAACGTTACATATATCTCCTATACACGACACTAAAACTTCATTCTAAACTTCATCCTTGGCCTTACAAGGGCAAAAACATTCAAATCCCCCAGTTTTTACGGTAATGTTACTCAATAATAACAGTACATAGAAGTCAGTAATATAAGCAAAATATCCTTCTACCCATCCTTTCCCAATAAAGGTATAACGTTAAATCGTAGGCAAGACCATCCTGAGGTAAACATATTGCATTTGCTTGCAAATGTTACCTTTCTAGTATTACTCTTATATTATATCCTAATTTACAATTTTAGAAACAAACATATCTGTAATCTTAAAACAAACCATTTGTTTTCAGACATAGATGAATGCTACGATGGCACATACAACTGCACTGGGAACGAGATGTGCGTGAACGAGCCGGGGACCTACTCTTGCGCATGCGTACCAGGCACATTCTTACAGGGCGATATCTGCGCGCCAGGTATTACTCATAATTTTTCAGTATTAAGCTAGTTTCTAAGAACACTTCTTCAATAATTTTTTCAGTATAACCAATGTATGATTAACATACAAGTAGCAATGTTTAATTACTTGCTCCCTCATACCTTTGTTGACAATGCCTATTGAGATTTCTGAATATGAATATAGGCTTGCCGTTGCAGAGCTCATCGTGAT